GATTCATTCATCTATTTCATAGTGAGAAGTAATGTCAAGGTGTAATTCAAGTCAAAACCCTCAAACTGTAATTCAATTGTTGTGTTAAAAGGAACTTCACTAAATTGGTTTAATAAGCCCCTTTCTAATTAACTGGGATAACTGAGTTAACTGGTAATAGGATCCAATAATTTTTCACACTGGAAATCTACCACCACCAAGAGCAGCCGTAAGAGTAGCAATGTTGACTTAGCACTTGCTGGGTGACAGGAATTACTCTAAGGGCTGTATACAAATTAATATATTTGATCTCAGAACAACCCTATGAGAGTTATTATTAGCTCCATCTTCCAAAAAAGCACTAAGCACAGGGAAGTTCATTAATGTAGCCAAGATCACAGCTAATAAGTGGCAGAGCTGGCACACAACCAGGCACTGATTCGGAAGTCTGTGTTCTAGATCTATTTCCCTTTGATTCTCTTCTCAAGTATCTATTTTAAAATGAGATTGCTGTGTTGGACACCACTCTGGAATCTCTATGTAGCTGTTATGCACTTTGTGCTTCAAACTGTTGTTTCCAGGGGCTCCAAAGAATCTCCTGTGGCAGCATCTGGTAAGTCCTCCCTAATGTCAACCTTGAAGATTCTGTACCAACCAGCTCCTAATCATAGCGTGTTGCCCTAGGCTCTTAGGTTTGTCAACTATTTTTTAATTCCTTTCATCTTCTTGTCTAGATTGGCTTTTGGAGATTAAAAAAATTCTACAAGTTTCAAATCCATATTGTGTTGAGTAGTATCTCTGTAGCTGATTTGTTCAAAACTTCTCTCCCTCAAGCTTTACAAGGGACTCATCACACCTTGAAACCCAAGACTATTCCTTTCTCACTGTCACTTAATTACAAATTTCTACCATGTCTTATCATTAACACTTCTTGATTATCTAGAAGCTTGTCCTGAAGTCATATATAAAAACACGTGTCCTCCATGAGAGAGGTACAACACATTTTGCTTCATAAACATTAACCCAGATCGGGTCCTTAGCCTTTATGACAGATTCCAAAACTGAAATGAATCTGATATCCAAAAGCAAAAAATTCAAAAAAAACCCCACAAATTATGTACACCAAATCACCCTGTCACTATACCCTCTCCACCAAGAGAAGTTTTAACAAATTAGGGAAAATGTCTTTCCATGAAAAATCTACCCTTTTTTCATGATTATGCTGAAAATTCTCCCACAGTCTATATTATACTGGCAAATTTCACAGTTACCCCTTCCATTGTCCTCAGATTATTTTTTTAAAACAGAGCTGTGTACAAAGCAAGTACACAGATATAGACACAATTTCTGTTCCCAAAGGGTTTACACTCCAATTAGGCAAGAGAGAGATAGAAAAACCAATGTGTGATCACCCATACTGTCCAAAATTAGCCTATATCTCAAAAGGGATCTGGCATGGAGTGCTGACTTACATAAACCAAGTGGATACTTTAAATATACAGACATTGCCTTGTCAAAAAGATTATTTTTCCCTGGGGGGCGGGGGGAGAGGGGGAGCTGTTCTATCTACCTAGAAAGCTCTGTATCCACCCTGTAACACAAGGCTAACCATTACTTTCTACTCAGGCCTTGACTTAAATTCAGCTCTCAAATTATGCTTTCATATAAACCCCAATGTTCTTTCAGAAGCCTAATGACAATTTGAAATTTTACATTTATTTTTTATTTGCTTTATGGAGACAAGAACCAGATTTACTTTTTACTACTGTACCTAGCACTGCCTGACATACAGGAGGTACTCAGTATTAACTAAATGACTAAGCATTACTTGTGTAAATTACTGGGTTCCCTCAATATCAAAAGAGATTAGTAATTTTGCAGCTAGGGGGGAAAAAAATCAAAGAGCATCACCTAAAATAACAGTGAAATTAATTATCAAATTAACAACTTCAAATACTATGGTTTTTTCCAGAAGGTTCAAGACTACCCAACTATTTTATTACCTAAAGAATTATCAACTCCCTCCCAAAAAAAAGAAGAAAAAAAAAGAATTTCTTAAAAACTGTTACAACTCCAACTACAAAGTGCTTCTTAAAATCTGCTGCAGCCCTGCAGCCCAGCTGACATGGCTCAGCGGTTGAGTGCCAACCTATGATTGAGGAAATCCGAGGTTCGATTCCAGGTCAGGGCACATGCCTGGGTTGAGGGCTCGATCACTGGACAGGGATGTGCAGGAGGCAGCAGATCAATGACTCTCTCATCACTGATGTTTCTCTCTCTCTCCCTCTCTCTTCCTCTCTCTGAAATCAAGATTAAAAAAAAAAAAAAAATATCCACTGAAAAGCCTATCAACCTCTTCTTCCTTTAATATAAATGCATTAAAAATAAATTAAGGTATTTTCCTAAATAGTAACAAATCTGGCTGCTATCTTTCAAGTCTTGCTCTTGTTTAGCTACCTCATTGTGGGGTTTTTTGTTGTTTCATAATTTCCAAGATGGCAAAAGGAACACTTCAGGAAAAAAAGATAAGCCTAGACAAGCACATAACAAATGAAACCATTTAGCAGTGGTGATTTTGCAAACTAACTAGCATGCAGGGACAGGGTAGCTATTTAAGGTTAGCCTAACAGAGTGTGCACTAATTTATCCTAGACCCAATCCTCTGAAAATGATGCAATATTAGACCTAGAATCTAAAATTTATGTTAGTGTCCCAAACAATGAAGAAACTATCTTTGGAACCTTCATCTGTATAGAGATGACTTAAAGATAAACTAATTTAGCTAAAGTACTCTCAAACAAACTTATTTAAATAGCACATGATTATCGTCAACAATGAATCAAATAAGATAATGGTTAAATTCTGAGTACCTAAGGCAGAAACTTCAGAAATTAGTCTTTACCATCCTCCTCTGGTAAAAATTAAAAGCTTCACATAAACATTTAAAATCTATATATGAATATAGCTAATGGAGGGTGGGTACTGATAGTTGTCTGATGTATTCACTCTTCCTACCCAATTACCTATGTAGCTGACCCTCATTTAGTTAAGGCTTTAGCTGTTTTTGTTTGTTTTTTTAAAAATATATCTTTATTCATTTCAGAGTTTAGCTGTTTTTAACATCTGTGTTCTAAGATAGGAGTTGACAGATGACAATACAAAATATATCTAGGGATTCATAAAACAGTTTAATGGAGCATTACCATTAGTCAAAACCAGCATTAGACCTGTACTATTAAATAAGACTTAACATCACTTAAACGCAATACTAGGTTAGCTTCTAGCTCTTCAGAAGATTCAAGAAGAAATTCCAATAACTATACCCTGTCTGGAGTAAATATTTTTTTAAGTTTAGTTGTAACCTCTGGAAACCATTCCCCCAAAAAAAGTCGCAACGCCAAAACACTCTCATTTTGAGCTATCAAATATGTTACTTGTTACTCCCTAGTAACTGAACCAGAATCTTTCACAAGCTCACATCTTTTGAAAACCTACCACTTCACTCACACACATGCACACACACTCTCTCTCTGCCCCAATACTGAACATAACTTTCTCATCACCCATGTTCCAAATTCTCTTCTCCCTGCTCCACTGTGGCTTACCAAGAAAAGTCCAGGGCATAGTGAGCCAAATGTCAGAGTATTCCTCCTAAAAATGAGTAAAATCTGCCCCTTTATTATCCTAAAGTCCTTGATATTATCCCATTTTAAAGTAATATAAAACCACAAGCTATCATTCTGTTCATGTAATTCTTTAGTCAATTACACTGTAATTATAACTGATCAATAATGTGATTATCACTAAAGATTTATTCAATGAAGATAAAGGTTTAAGCCAAAAACATGCCTCATAAAGTCACAGACAAGATGATTTAAGTAAACACAAATTCAACTGCTATCAAAATGATACTGAAATCATTAACCTCAAGTTCTAATAAAATAAAATATATACAAAAAAAACTAAAAAATAATGACAAAACTTGATGAGTAGATGGGTATTTTGATTAAGAAAAAATTTCAAGTTGTGATATCAGTTACTATATTTTAAAACCTTATCTTTGAGAGATATACATTGAAATACTTACAGATGAAAGAGTATGATGTCTAGGATTTGCTTCAAATTATAAGAGAGGAAAAGGCTGAGATATGGATGAAACAAGACTGGCCATGGTTAAAGATGCACGACAAATACACTGAAGCTCATTATACTATTCTACTTCTGCATACATTAAACAATTTCTATCAGATATATTGTTTCCCTCATAACACTGTAGATAGTTCTGACATCAAAGACTCGCTGTTACTGCCCATGTAACGTTGTGTTCCAAAACTGTCTTTTAGAAACAATCTCTGGGGGAAGAGTACATGGTGACAAATCATTTTTAGAGAATGATTTAAATGTCAACTATATACAGAACAAACAGAAGCAATAAAAGGAAAAGATTTTTCAAAAGCATTACCATCAAGCAAAATATATCACAACTTGTGCAGAATGCAAGTGTAAGATGAAAACAAAAAATTTAAAAAACCCAAATAAAATGTTAGAAAGCTCAATATGGTAGTCAATCGTGTGCCATGCAACAATGAACAGGAATGAGGACTTTGAAGAGACTACAAGAGTATATTACAGAACAAGATTCCTCCTTTTAGCTCATAATATATGCGTGGTTAATAGCTGTATAATTAACATTAAAAGCCCTCTCCCTAAATAAGTCATATACCTTCCCACACAGTTACTTTCTAAAAGTAACTGTCCTCTACTAAAGTATGTCACTTTATTTTTCTATCACATTTACATGATCTAGCATTTCACCTAAGATTCAGCACCAACTAACTAAAATCTGACCTTTGAACTTCAATGTCTACTGAACATGTATTACTACCAAGAAACAGAAACCATAATAAAATGCTACCTATAAGTCGAAAATGCTACTCTGGACTATTCTAAATTTTGGTGACTTGAGACTCCACCAGGCAGAAAACTAAGAGAAAGTGTCCATTTTTAAAGATAGTACTTACTTAAGAATGGTTTTTGCACTACTGCAGTCTTCAAATCGAATGGAGTAACCAACTTCCTGGCCCAACATCACATCCATTTCATCAGCAACTCTCTGAGCCACACTCATTGCAGCCACTCTCCTGGGTTGAGTACAGGCAACTCCTCTCTTGGGTCCTGGTAATGATCGCATGTACTCCACACACCACTGTGGAATCTATCAAATAATTTCACATTTAAATTAATTCTACTCTGCCTGCATATCAGGTATATTTAACATAAAGTATTTTATCACGTTCTAATAATTGAACACAAAATTCAATTAGGCACACCACAAATTATTATTTATGACTCAAACTTATAAAAGAATGAGCACTCTAGGCCAAGGAAGGGTCATGCCTAACACTGACATGACATAATTGTACTCCTGAGTGGGCTAGGTCCACTGAGGCTTTGTTGAATATGCTCTACAGCAGGGGTGGGGAACATCCAGTCCCAGCCATATGAAATCATTTGTTCCAGCCCTGCCAAGGCAACCTCAGGCAGGACTCAAAATTCAATAAATCTAGGAGCTTTTTCCATAGCTAATTTTTAAGCTGATAATTTTATATGGCCCACGAATGATGTCATAAATATCCAAACGGCCCTTGGCAGAAAAAAGGTTCCCCACCCCTGCTCTTCAGTATCAATAGTTCCACCATTAACCAATTCTCATGCACTGGGGGAAAATCCAACTTAGGAAAAATTCTACTTAATAACAAAGGTTAGTTTCCAAAAATAAAAATAAAATTTAAAAAATCTAAGAAACTGTAACTTAAATTCCTATACAATTTGAGTTACAAAATGGAAGTGAAAATAGGAATCATATCCACTTGTAATTATATAGCTGTTATCTTTTAATTCAATTCAAATTTGCTTTATAAGTCAGCAGAATCTAGGAGAGGTATGCACAATAGCAACACCTTGGTACCATACCAAAAGTCAATTTTAGTCACTGTCATATAGATTCAACATGATGGGTCTCCATTAAAGCTTCCAAAAGCCTATCAGACTCTAATGCTTGAAAAGTACATGTGGGGGAATTTTTTTGGTAAAGAATACTGATTACTGTACTATTACTACATTTTAGTTAGGTTACTTCTGCAATTTTGGGATTTGTTGTCACTGACAAATATCTGAAGGAGGGAAGGGTGGTTACACTGCTTCTCTAGGAACACAACAATCCATATCTTTGAAGGATTTTAAATGAACAAAAATACTCAACTATAAGAGAAGTGGCTCTCTGGGTATGTAAACCCACAAGCCAAAAAGTTTAAGTGGTTGTCCAGCAAGGCTTTATTTATATCTTTATTTCAGTTAGCCTCTCACAAACACAAAATGCACCTTATAAGATCAAACAAACAAACAAACAAACAAAAAAAAACCCATTGGTCAATTAAAGCTATTTAAAATTAATTCCAAATTCTCAAGGCAAGAATGCTCACAGATTTTTTAATTCACTCCAGTGAAATGGATAGCTTTCTCCCACTTTAAAAACAAGATATAAACCATTTTGGCTAATTCAGAAGTTTTAAACTTCTGATCTCAGAAACTCTGCATTCTTCAAATAACTTAGCATGCCAAACTACTAATAGATATACTTTATTAGGAAATTAAAATGAAATAGTTAAAATATCAACTCCTAACAATAAAAACTCATCCTATGTTAACATAAACATTTTCTATGCAAGTACATTCTTACAAACCAAAAAAAATTTAGCAGAGTACACTCTTTTTACATTTTTGCTTATCTCTAATGTCTGGCCTAATAGAAGACAGCTGGATTCTTTTATCTGCTTCTATTTTGAATGTTTTGCAATGCTTTTGGTTTGTTTTTAAGTACATGAATAAAATCCCAGGAACTTAAGGACTTCCAAGGGTTCCCAGACAATACTTGGAGAACCGTTTAGTCAATCCATCTATTCATATTTCTAAAAATAGCATTCAGAAAGGAAGTAGGTCCTGAAATATGCAGGCTACTGGCTATTCACGCCAGAGATCAGATGTACTAAAACTATTTCTCTCTTTCAGTTCCGTCCCTCTCTCCATTTGCAGCCATCTTCCTAAAAACTGATCCTCAACCCTCTAGTTTTCTTGTTTTATACAGAGTTTTACACGTTATTCTTCTGACTTCTAATATTACCTATGTAATATAGCAAATGTCAATCCTAACTCTAGTTCCCACCCCCAACCTAGCAGTCATTTCCACTTGAAGAGTATTTTATTGGTATCCCAAATTCAACGAGTTCAAAACCAAAACTATTTCTCACCTTCCTCCAAATATTTATTAATTCCGCCCAGGCCCCCACTTAATAAAAGTTACACCCTAACTCCTAGCTATCCTTTATTCTCCACTCTACTACCCTATACAGAGTCGAAATTTTGTTATAATCTCCTACATAGTCTGTTATCAACATTCTTACCAGACAGGACATTCTGTAAAAATCACTGTCATTCCCCTCCAATTAAAAAGCTCTGGTGGCTCCTCAATCCACAGCAAGATATATTAAGGCCCAAACTACTGCTCCAGTCTCATCTACCCCCCCCCTTCTTAAACATCCTATCTGTCCAGCGCACATAATGCTTTCCCTTCTCTAAACCTGTGCCCTTGCTCATACTGTCCCTTGGCTGAACTAGCTTTAATTTCTTACATATGGATAGCATATGTGCATATTAGGTTGCAATGTGAAACGTCTTTGCTGAGTCTCAGTCAAAAGTTAGTCATTACTTGATTCGGTTTGGAGAATTTCATTTTTTTGATAGGCACAATAACAACCAAAAATAGCTGCCTACTCTTAATGGTTTTGAGTCAAGGTTTACTAAGAGTATGCCAAAAAGCATTTGGCTGACATTCTCTATTTAACTGTTCAGTTTCCCCTCAAATCCCCTGTAATCCTAAGAATACAAATATTTGAAATATCCAAACAAGTAACCCAAATAATCAAAAACCTCTTGTTCTGAGTTGACTGGACCTCCTCTACACTAAATGCTACTAAAGAAACTCATCTCTGAAGTAAAGTTAGCCATAGAAGACCACAGAATAGCAGTATGAAATAAATACAACTTTGGCCATGAGACAAAGGAAAAGTTAAATACTGAGCCCATCTAAATCTACTATGTAACCCAGGGAAATCCACTAAATCGCTCTAAGATTCTCATAAATCTAAGCTTCATTTTGCTCATCTGTAAAATGGTAACTAACAACTTCCTAGCAGAAATGTTGAAAAAATTATACCAAGTACACAGTGCTTGGCTTTACCCAATTAAATGGGTGCTGTTAATACTATGCAAATGAGATAAACTAGTTGAAATAATTATTAAAAATACTATACTAATAAGTTTTAGAGTTATGTCTTTTCATGTATTCAGTTCTTTAAATTTCCATCAGGTGGTAAAAATAAACCAACAGTTTCAGTTCCTAACATGGACACTAAGTCTTCCTTCCCTTAAAAAGAAAAATTATACTCACTATGGCTCAGACTTTAATAAAAGCTTCCTACTTTAATTGCTATTGTAGCCTTCAAAATGACTCCATGAAATACTCAAATTGATAGATTTGTGGCATATGTAACTTTTAAGGATAACTTGTATATGCAGTATGCTCAAATATAAACAAGTATCATAGGTACATTAACATGGAAAACAGGACAGGACAATAGGAATACAACATATTAATAACTTTAAGTAATCATTATTCATTTCAACACTTTCCTGAATTTTCCAAATTTCCTACAATGGCCAGCGACTGCTATTTGGGTAATCTCCAAGAAACTTTTAACTGATGGGTCGGGCTCCGGAGCATATGAAAATATGCTTAACCTCGGTCTTAGCAAGAAAATATGAATTAAAATTACACTAAAATACCATTTTTCACCTATCTTATTTGTAAAACTTCAAGTTCGGTAGTACACAGTAATGGTTTCCCACATATGCTCTCGTGAGTACTCATGGAAAGGTAAACTGATATGTTACCTATAGAAAGCTATTTGGCTATATGTATCACAACTATACAAACAATCCTCTAACCCAGCAATTTCCACTTCTGGGAATTTATCCTACAGATGTACTTGCTCATGCAAAACCACCATTAGAAGCAGCTTAGATGTCAATTATATGGAACCAGCAAAAAATGCTCATCCATGTTTGAAAAATGTTCTGGATATATTACTAACAAGATATGTTTAGCTGTGTGTGCATGTGTGCTCCCACATGCATGCATAGGGGATACCAACATGGACGGAGGTTCATGAGTAAATAGACTTTAGTTCTTCCATTTTAAAAACAGACAATATTCACAGGGTTCAAAACAATTACAAAAACAAAAAACAAACAAATCAAAACAAAGAAACAAGCAAAAACAAAAACTCCAAAGGTTCAGATCACTTCACCCAAGCACTGGAAAACAAACCTTAACCCTCAATTTTGTACTACCCCAGAGTTCAAGTGGGAGGGAGAGCATCACTCTGCCATCCTTAATATAATAGAATCAGAAAATAACAGCACTATTTTCCCCTACAAAAAACAGGTATTCCCTACTGGATTCCCACTCTTAAAGTCACTAAAAAGCATGAAACACCAAAGCAGCTATTCTTCAAGATGTCCTACCAGGCAGCGAACAATGAGAATGATCATGAGGATTAAATAAACATCGCTTAGTAAACTTAAACATTAATAAAACATGTAGTATCGTGTACAATAACTCACCTGTGTTGTCTTACCAGACCCAGTCTCACCAACCAGTACAAAGGACTGATGTCTAACCAGAATATCTGTAAACCTATCCTTGTATTCCCAAACAGGGAGCTGAAGCCGTTTCTTTAGAATATCATAGTATCGAGGAGTATGGGGTAAGTTGGTAAAAGGATTAATGCACTGTGGAAGTGATGTGTGTCCTGCATGTCCAGTGTGTGTTGAATGAGCAGAATGTGTCGAATGTGTTGAATGTGCTGAGTGGGTTGAGTGAGCTGAATGGGAAGCTTTTAAAGGTGGTAATCCAGCACTGATAAGCATAGCATTAGTGGAAGCTCGCAATTCCTTCTCCTTTTCTTTCTCTCTCTCCCGCTCTCTATCTCCTCTATCACGTTCTCGGTCCCGATCTTTAGACCGATCTTCACGATCCCGGTCACGATCTCGATCCTTCCTAAAAAAATAAAATAAAATTTAATTTTAAAAAATCAGAATTCAGATTCTGAGTTTTATGAAAAATGTTCACAGCAGTGTTATAGTCACAAAGAAAGTAAATGTCCAACCACCAAATGAATAAACTGAAATAAAATTCAATGAATTACGTTAAGTACCAGAATAAAAGAGAATTTATAAACAAGGATTCTCCATGCCTTACCCATAAACATCCTTCCCTTTTTTTCTATTGCCATTTTAATTCTTTATGCCTATGTTTCTTTCTTGCTTTTTAAAATTATTTTTAATCTTTATTATTGAAAATATTACAGATGTGCCCTTTTTACCCCCATTANTGAGTCTCAGTCAAAAGTTAGTCATTACTTGATTCGGTTTGGAGAATTTCATTTTTTTGATAGGCACAATAACAACCAAAAATAGCTGCCTACTCTTAATGGTTTTGAGTCAAGGTTTACTAAGAGTATGCCAAAAAGCATTTGGCTGACATTCTCTATTTAACTGTTCAGTTTCCCCTCAAATCCCCTGTAATCCTAAGAATACAAATATTTGAAATATCCAAACAAGTAACCCAAATAATCAAAAACCTCTTGTTCTGAGTTGACTGGACCTCCTCTACACTAAATGCTACTAAAGAAACTCATCTCTGAAGTAAAGTTAGCCATAGAAGACCACAGAATAGCAGTATGAAATAAATACAACTTTGGCCATGAGACAAAGGAAAAGTTAAATACTGAGCCCATCTAAATCTACTATGTAACCCAGGGAAATCCACTAAATCGCTCTAAGATTCTCATAAATCTAAGCTTCATTTTGCTCATCTGTAAAATGGTAACTAACAACTTCCTAGCAGAAATGTTGAAAAAATTATACCAAGTACACAGTGCTTGGCTTTACCCAATTAAATGGGTGCTGTTAATACTATGCAAATGAGATAAACTAGTTGAAATAATTATTAAAAATACTATACTAATAAGTTTTAGAGTTATGTCTTTTCATGTATTCAGTTCTTTAAATTTCCATCAGGTGGTAAAAATAAACCAACAGTTTCAGTTCCTAACATGGACACTAAGTCTTCCTTCCCTTAAAAAGAAAAATTATACTCACTATGGCTCAGACTTTAATAAAAGCTTCCTACTTTAATTGCTATTGTAGCCTTCAAAATGACTCCATGAAATACTCAAATTGATAGATTTGTGGCATATGTAACTTTTAAGGATAACTTGTATATGCAGTATGCTCAAATATAAACAAGTATCATAGGTACATTAACATGGAAAACAGGACAGGACAATAGGAATACAACATATTAATAACTTTAAGTAATCATTATTCATTTCAACACTTTCCTGAATTTTCCAAATTTCCTACAATGGCCAGCGACTGCTATTTGGGTAATCTCCAAGAAACTTTTAACTGATGGGTCGGGCTCCGGAGCATATGAAAATATGCTTAACCTCGGTCTTAGCAAGAAAATATGAATTAAAATTACACTAAAATACCATTTTTCACCTATCTTATTTGTAAAACTTCAAGTTCGGTAGTACACAGTAATGGTTTCCCACATATGCTCTCGTGAGTACTCATGGAAAGGTAAACTGATATGTTACCTATAGAAAGCTATTTGGCTATATGTATCACAACTATACAAACAATCCTCTAACCCAGCAATTTCCACTTCTGGGAATTTATCCTACAGATGTACTTGCTCATGCAAAACCACCATTAGAAGCAGCTTAGATGTCAATTATATGGAACCAGCAAAAAATGCTCATCCATGTTTGAAAAATGTTCTGGATATATTACTAACAAGATATGTTTAGCTGTGTGTGCATGTGTGCTCCCACATGCATGCATAGGGGATACCAACATGGACGGAGGTTCATGAGTAAATAGACTTTAGTTCTTCCATTTTAAAAACAGACAATATTCACAGGGTTCAAAACAATTACAAAAACAAAAAACAAACAAATCAAAACAAAGAAACAAGCAAAAACAAAAACTCCAAAGGTTCAGATCACTTCACCCAAGCACTGGAAAACAAACCTTAACCCTCAATTTTGTACTACCCCAGAGTTCAAGTGGGAGGGAGAGCATCACTCTGCCATCCTTAATATAATAGAATCAGAAAATAACAGCACTATTTTCCCCTACAAAAAACAGGTATTCCCTACTGGATTCCCACTCTTAAAGTCACTAAAAAGCATGAAACACCAAAGCAGCTATTCTTCAAGATGTCCTACCAGGCAGCGAACAATGAGAATGATCATGAGGATTAAATAAACATCGCTTAGTAAACTTAAACATTAATAAAACATGTAGTATCGTGTACAATAACTCACCTGTGTTGTCTTACCAGACCCAGTCTCACCAACCAGTACAAAGGACTGATGTCTAACCAGAATATCTGTAAACCTATCCTTGTATTCCCAAACAGGGAGCTGAAGCCGTTTCTTTAGAATATCATAGTATCGAGGAGTATGGGGTAAGTTGGTAAAAGGATTAATGCACTGTGGAAGTGATGTGTGTCCTGCATGTCCAGTGTGTGTTGAATGAGCAGAATGTGTCGAATGTGTTGAATGTGCTGAGTGGGTTGAGTGAGCTGAATGGGAAGCTTTTAAAGGTGGTAATCCAGCACTGATAAGCATAGCATTAGTGGAAGCTCGCAATTCCTTCTCCTTTTCTTTCTCTCTCTCCCGCTCTCTATCTCCTCTATCACGTTCTCGGTCCCGATCTTTAGACCGATCTTCACGATCCCGGTCACGATCTCGATCCTTCCTAAAAAAATAAAATAAAATTTAATTTTAAAAAATCAGAATTCAGATTCTGAGTTTTATGAAAAATGTTCACAGCAGTGTTATAGTCACAAAGAAAGTAAATGTCCAACCACCAAATGAATAAACTGAAATAAAATTCAATGAATTACGTTAAGTACCAGAATAAAAGAGAATTTATAAACAAGGATTCTCCATGCCTTACCCATAAACATCCTTCCCTTTTTTTCTATTGCCATTTTAATTCTTTATGCCTATGTTTCTTTCTTGCTTTTTAAAATTATTTTTAATCTTTATTATTGAAAATATTACAGATGTGCCCTTTTTACCCCCATTAATCCCCTCCACCCCACATCCACCCCACCCCCAGGTCTTCCCCATACCAATGTCTGTGTCTATGGGTTATGCTTATAAACATATAATAAGTTCTTTGATTAATCTCTCCCCACCCACTCCCCTATCCCCACCTTCTCTCTGGGATCACTCAGTCTGTTCCATGCTTCTATATCTCTGGATCTATTTTGTTCATCAGTTTATTTTGTTTATTACATTCCACTTATGAGATCATGTTGTACTTGTCTTTCTCTGACTGGCTTATTTCACTTAGCATAATACTCACCAGTTCCCTCCATGCTGTCCTAATAGATAAGAGATCCTTTTTTTTTTCCTACAGCTGCATAGTATTCCATGGTATAAATGTCCCTTTTTTTAATGATGTCTCAAATTCTGTTAAGGGACAGTCTCTTTTCACAACCTTTAGCCATCAGATAATGCAAGAACTCAGTCTTCTGAAAGTAAAATCCCTTCCTCCTTAGAAGTTAAATACTGAGGACAGGGTGGGGGA